CCCCAAAACCCCAAAACCCCAAAACCCCAAAACCCCAAAAAATATTAATATTACAATATGGAGGCAGAAAAGATTTATGTGGATGATATTCTCTCTGACGAAGACGATGAGTGTCCATCTCCTATAATACCTAAAAAGTATATTGAAAAGGAGGAATTTGAGTCACGAAAGTCTAAACTTGATATTAAAAAGATTATCTCAAGTTTTATCCTCAAAAAGGAGTACTTCGTTTCACACAAAAAGACAGATATTCATGTAGATTACGATCTTGAGAAGGAACCCCTTGGTGAAGGTGCCTTTGGAGTGGTCTACAGAGCCACAGAGAGGGAAACTGGCATTATTAGAGCAGCCAAGAAGATCCAAGTCAAAGATGATTCGGATATAGAAAACTTTTATCGAGAAGTAGGCGCACTCAAAACTCTTGATCATCCTAACGTTATTAAGCTCTATGAGGTCTATGAAGATAAGGAAGAAGGCTTTGTGTACCTTATTGAAGAGTACTGCGAAGGAGGCGAGCTGTTTGATTACATCATCGACCATAATGGCCTTGAAGAGAAAGAAGCAGCAAGAGTTTTCCATCAAATGCTGTCCAGTATCTTATATTGACACAAAAATTGTATTTGCCATCGGGATTTAAAACCTGATAACTTCATGCTCTCGAAGAGAGGCAAACGATCTCCTATAAAATTGATAGATTTTGGACTCTCAAGGCAGTTCTTTTCATATAATGAAAATAAAGGAGTAGATTATGTCCGAATGGCAACTCGTGCAGGCACTAAGTTATACATGGCTCCAGAAGTTTTCACTGGAAATTACTCAAATGCTTGTGACATCTGGTCACTTGGGGTGATACTTTTCATCATGGTATCTTCGGAAATCCCTTTCAAAGGTAGTACTGAAGAGCAAATTAAGCAATCTATCTTGGATATTAGTTATGATTTTGACAAGCCAATTTGGGATAATATTTCCGAAGAGTGAAAAGACTTAATTTCTCAAATGATAGTAGAAGAAAATCAAAGAATTACACCTAAGAAGGCTCTTCATCATCCTTGGTTTAAGAAATTTTTGTTCAAGAAGAAAAAGATGTTAGGAGCCGATTCTTCTCATATCGAGAAAATAGAGAATTTCAAAGATTCAAATCATCTGAAAAAAGCGATACTAACTTTCTTATCAGCCAAAGCCAGCGACGAAGATATTAAGGAAGAAATTGAGTTGTTCAATAATTATGATACCAACAATGATGGATACATCACAAAGAAAGAGCTGAAGAAGGGGATGACTAAGCTGCATAATTTTACAAACGAAGATATCGAAAAGTTCATGGAAAGTATGGACACAGACAAGAATGGTGCTATCAACTTCAATGAATTTATCTCAGCAACCCTGAACAACAAGATTTCAACGGATTATTCCAGAATTGTTAAAGCTTTTGAGTTCTTTGACCTTGATAACGATGGTCAGATTGACAAGAAGGAGCTCCAAGAAGCCCTCACCGGAAAAAGTTTCGAAATGATCGACATGCAAATCTTCGAAGGAGTTATCGATGAATGTGACAAAGATAGAGACGGCAAAATCAATTTTGAAGAATTCTCCCAGACAGTCTCTAATAAGCTAGATATCAAGACTAAACAAAAACTATCTGAATACGGTAAACCAGCTGAAACTCCTTAAAATAAAAATTTCTAGAAATATCACTAAAATGTTCGAATTAAGAAGTTTTAGATTAAAAGTAGAACTTTTAAATCGATTTCAATACTATTTCTTCCATCTGGGGTTTTGGGGTTTTGGGGTTTTGGGGTTTTGGGG